ACTTAATGGTAGGATGCAGTGCCCTTAGAGGGCCGTCATTCGGGTCTATCATCCTTCATTTCCTCTATCTGTGTAACCTATTTTGTTATATATCTATGTTATAGTTTCGATATAAATATATACAAGCTAACATTTGTCTGAGTACATTTAATACAATTGATAATTTGAAGATATCGCTTGCAGGACGCCGTGGGAAAGGACCTGCAAGAGCTCGATGTGGCGGAATGGCGAACAGCCGCGCAATATCGGCAAAAATGGCGCTCTTTAGTTTCGGAGGCCAAGACTCACTCTGGATCGCTGCGCCAGCGGAGTAAGGGTCTCAGCACACATATGAGATCGGAAAGGGATCGTAACCGTAACGCCTTTCGCCTCGCTGTCAACCAGGCGTCAACCTACCGTACGCACGTAACGAAAGCGTATCAGCAGCGCCTGTACGTCAACTCGGCTACGGCTAGGCGACACCGCGCTTACGCCTCGTCGCCCGAAAGATATTGGGTACACAATATGAATAAAGCAAGGAGGACGCAAGCGCGGGGACGGAGAGACGTAAGCGCGGGGACGATGAGCCGTAAGCGCGGGGACGATGAGCCGTAAGCGCGGGAATTGCAAGTTCGGAGCCTGTTCCGAGGCGAGGCGATTACGTTATGATTCCGATTAGTGTGCGTTGCAGTAGGGAGTTTAATACAAACCATTCTGAACGGCTCGAGGCGTTACGGTTACGATCCCTTTCCGATCCCATATGTGTGCTGAGACCTTAAGTAAGCAATAAGTTACAATTGAAACAAATAATAAAAATATTATTTTTTATTACACATCAAAATTTAATAGTGATCCACTCCCTCCATGGCTTAATGGTGAAGCAATGCTTTAACTGTGTTCGAGTGCCCTGTGCATAATGTATAGTTTCTATTGTGTAGGCCACACATAACTGACCATTTAGATGCCTGTACTTAAAATCAAGAAAAAAGAAACAAACAATGATTAGTACTTAAAATAGAGACATATAGGTACTTGGATAAAACTAGGTAATCACGGGCTAATTATAACGGTGTATGAAGCCAGCGATGCGGCACTATGTGACATATGCGTGCCTCCATCATACAGTAATGACAGCCTTATAGGAAATTACCAAACGTTGCTCTATCATCAATGAAAACAGGTCAATGGTTATTGAAACAAAGTTTGCGATAGTGAAAATACGGTGTTATTTAAGAATATAATTTCATGAAGAGGATATTTGAAATAATCATAACCTTTAATTACGAGATGCAGAAATAGATAGCTCTTTTTTAGATCATTTAAAGAGGAATTATTCTTTCATATATTTTTTGAGTATCATGAACCGTTTTTGTAGCGTATGCCTCGGAAATCCATGACGATGAATATTTTTTTCCAATTTTTTTCACATTTATCGCTGTCTCCACTTGTATTAGTTACAGGGCAATGTTTTATAGCTTCGTCGATAAAGGCTCGAACCGACACAAAATGTCAGGAAAAAATCTCAGGAACTATGTGTTCGAATTTCTCAATTCGAACACATAGTTCCTGAGATTAGCAGTTCAAACAAACAAACTCTTCCGCTTTATATATTAGTATAGATAGATAAAAAAGACAATAGCGGGTTTCATTGTAAATAATATAAAATACGAATTATACGCTGGACTTACAAGTCTGTGGGAACTGCAACAAATTGCTAAAGATAAAGACGAACAGGAAGTGATCCTGTTGCCAATGAACAAGTAATAAGTCGTAAAAGTAATTTAATTAAGGAGGGACAGGATGTGCGGCACAATAGCATACCGGATGCCAGATTAAAAAGGGTCCGACCTTGTACTACGATAGATAAAGGGCAATTGTAAAAGGTTGACTTAACATTGGCGGCCTTCGTTATCCACTTTGCCAATAAGTCAAAATATGATGCAGTACTATTGACAGTAGTTATATAAAAAAAGGAATGAAATAAACATTTAAATTAAGAACTACTCTTAATCATCGGCGGAATCACACATCCACTAGTACAGTATAAAGATAACACTGTAGCTTAATTGGTGGAAGAACAATAAGCTGTCGGTCGTGAATTGATTTCCCTTGTACCATCGACGTTTTCAATATTTCAATGTTACTTTTCCAACTTATGAAGCTCGCAATAACTACGTATGTTAAAGATCTTTGAATCCGCGAGTAGACTAAGAGCCGCGCGCCCTGGATTTGCAATTATGTATCAATTAAGTCCTGCGCCGTTATTACGAGAACTTTCCTGGACAACGCGCTGTAATTACGTAATATGACCAGTCTGAGTTATGGTTCGGCTAATAGTGATCACGATAACACGAACTGCAGAATTTATAGCTAGTGTTGATAATGGTACTGAGAAATTGTAATAATATAGGCCCGAAGTGGACATATCTAACAAGTGGAGTTTACAAAACTATCACCTGACGACGTAACAGGATAGCGGGAACTGCAGAAATTAATTTGTATGAGCATGATATTGTTAACAGTTGCACATGATATGTTATAGAATATCATGATTGAAATCAATTTTAGTTTGAAAATTTAGATGACAAAGACTAGTTATACCTAAATGTTACTATCTTAATTTAAATTTAAATAAACTACGGCTGCTGCAAAGCATCCGAAAAAAATCCGTTAAATTAAAGAAAGACAAAAGAGAAAATAGATTTACGTTTAACGGCGTTATAACCGCTGTTGGTAAGTTCTATTACTTCGCAGTCTGTATGTCTGACCTCGTCTATCTTAAACAACTTTGTCATTATATCGGTTTTTTTCAATTTCACTAGATGTAAAGCTAATAGTAGTAAGCAGATAAAAGATGCTTAAAATTTTTCAATGTAGAATAAGGTTTTTATCAGATTTATAATAAAAACAAATAATTTTTGAAATAAGTACTCTGTATAGACTAATAACAAGATTACTTATGCCCAACAAATTCATAGAATATCTAATTTCTTGATGTAATTTGAGGCGTAACGCATCGGTTATTAAATTTACAGTATTGTATGATCTAGAAACAAGTATACAAATCATATAGATATATACATAGATTGACAAAATCATTATCCACCCTTTCTGTGGCCCTCGTTGGTTAAAGTTACATAAAACCAACGCGGACCACATAATAATTTCAGCCGTATTGTAATCCGAGTTGTAGATGTTATCAACTGTTGCGAATAGTTCATTAGAGCAAACACATTCAAACATTACTCGCTACAGAACGATTGGACATTATAATTTACTGATCGTGTAGCGGCTTAACAATATATTTGCGGTTGCAGTTGACAAAATAATTTAATTAACCTTATTTTAAGTTATAGATACAACGGTAGGTTAAAACTTGCATGCTTTTGTTAATTAAATGAACGTGCCCCTCGCCGCTTAAAATTATCACATTGCCCAGCTGCAAGTAGGATATTATTCATACTGCCCGGTCCAAGTGATAAATTCACACAATCTTAAACACACGCACGCACGCACAAATCACATGGACCACGCGCCGTCCATTTAATAAACGCCCACTTAATAACGTTGCCCGTAACATATACATTAACTTGGATGAATAAAAAAAAATCAAGCAAAATGAGCATTGTATTTTTATGTGTTCCAAATACTCACTACACTTAATTGCAAATTGTGAAAATGACACCCAATTTCGTACAACAATACAAAAAGCGAATACCCATGAGTTAAGCTATGCACTAGTTCACATCCGATAAAACTAGATAAGCATCAAATGGCCTGCATACAGACAATAGACAACGGTGTTATCGATAAAAATGCCACAGAATAAATTCGTTGCCATGGTAACGAACCGGCTAATGTACACGGACAGTTGCATAGTTAGTTAGACAGGTGAATAAATAGTTCACGACGGCGAAACGATAGCGGAGATAAGCGCACAATCTGCTACCCTTTCGTATAAAACCTAGAGATAATCTAGGAACACTTATCGCTTTAATAGCACTAAACGCTAGCGATTATACAATTTTCTCATTCGAATTGAGCACTAATTTTATGTTGCATAATGTTTTGAGGTCGTTTTATAGAACATTGATCAATAGTTATTTCTAGGAAACTGACAAGGTACTATCTGGCCTACATAGTAATAAAAAAAATTGTTTAGATTGAATAAACCGTCACGGGCGAGACTTGTAAACAGAAATGAATGTTAATGTGTCGTGTGTGGTTAGTATTAGCGCTATTTTTATTGATATCAATAAATTGAAGCGCGAAAAAGTAACACAAATCTATACATAGTAACCAACAGTGGTAGTTTTATAATAACAACAATAAATCTATTTCAAACTCGATTATAGTATTAGGCGATAAATCTCACAGTTGAATAGTGGTATGTAAGTGCGGAAATTCGTAAGAAAAACGAGCTCTAAAGCGTGAAAGTTTAATTAATTGAAGGCGATCTAGACGTCAGGTGAGACCTAGCATTTAAGCGATAGCACCAAATAAGTAGGTGCAGCTATCGCGATTGTACGAACAATAATATTAAACTGATAATTTAACGAATAACCTATTAAGAAGACTGAAAGCTAATGGATCGGAAACAAATGAAAAAAATCCTGCCGTGAAGCATAAGCCGGTACTTAAGGTATTTAAGCCCGTAGCACTGATCTTTTATAATTACGCATAGGAAGCCATTTATTATGGTTTACATAGGACCCTTTGTTTAGTGGAATCGCTCTTGTTACATATAAAACACCGATTCGATAGTAGAGTTTTTTATAATAGATGGAGACAACAATACAAACCCAGTTTTTCATTCATTTAAATACGACACGACATTTCGAACGCTTTGCCGTAGTTATATTAAACAAAGTTAAAATCAAATGTAAACTACCCGCGTAAAATACAGACAACACTTAACATCTCTCAAAACGGCGAACAGCATCTGAAACTTACACCGGCGAAAATAAACGATTATAAAACAGTGAAACTTTCCCAACGGAACCTAATTATAATGATTTAAATTAGCCACGGGCGTAATTATCAGATTGAATAGCGTCAAAAGAGGAAAGCGGGCGGGCTTCCAGGCGAAAAGTGAAAGTTAAAATTGGCGGCAGAATTTCCGAACGTTTCAGGGTGCAGAGGGCAGAGCGCGTGGCGGGTGGCTCGTAGCGACCTCTCACCTGCCGAGATGAAGATACGCGATAATTGAGCCGTAACCACCAATTGTAACTGGTGTGAACCACACGCTTAATGAAGCGCCCTCACATCAAGCTTCAAGCCACTTCGTTAAACAGCATAGATATAAAATACTCTTCAATTTAAGTCTATACTAATATTATAAAGCAGAAAGGTTTGTTTGTTTGAACAATTCTTTATGTGTTTTTGTTGGACAATTTATCGAGGAGAGTTTTAGGCTATAAAATATCAAGCTGCGATCCATAGGAGCCAGGGCAGAAAGGGAAATGTGGAAGAAAAGGGAAAAATCTCATCTTTGAAGCCTTCCCTTGCGTGCGCTGCGAAAACGATTCAAGAAACTGAAAAGCAATGTATGATAGACCGATTCTTTATAGCCATATTTATACTATAAAAAACGAAATTAAATTGAAGAAATGTTCGACTCGGGCTAACATAATATATCGAAAGTTTTCAAACATATTTATACTTTTAAGCCATAATTTATTAAGCTGATGAGAATGTTTGCAAAATCAAAATAACTATTTCGCGCGGACGAAGTCGCGGTCAAAGTTAGTATATAATACGTTTTTGCATAGATGACGAATTTCTAAGAATTTGATGTTGGATTTTTTGGTACAATCTTTTAAAATATAATATATGTTAAGTAAGTTTAAACATTGAAATAAGTTTTTAACATTGACATGTTGAATCCTTTTAATTACAAAAGCTAGATATGAATAGTCCATAATGTCGACATTCGCCACCCGTACCTGCCTCTTTTACAGCTGCAATTTGGCTAATACACGCAATATATTTATTACGTTACACTGCGATTGAGCAATACGCAATTCCGTGCACGTCGTTTAAACTGTATTATGCAGTTAATTTTCTCGAGTCACTCCGCGGCGAAGCCTCGGGCAATGCAAGCGAGCATTGTTGCTGATTTTTGCCACATAACATTATCGTATATTGCGTGGTGAGACCGCTTTCGCGGAACTTTCTAAATTTGCAAAAAAGATTAGAATATACTGTCTATTTAGACGGACACCTTGTTGAAATGGTAGCGATGAAATAATAATCAAAAGGCGGTTGGTTTGATCTTTACCGGGCTCAACACTTCTTCTTCTTCGATTTACAATTCTTCTGAAACATGTCGGACTTCGTCTGAAAATCTGGATAATAGTGGGTGGTAGGAATATCGAAATTCCGTGAAGCCGACGATAATAAAGCCGCCAAGTTTAATGACGTTTTGATTTCAGTCTGTAGATTTCCGACTACACAAAGCCTAAATAGATAGACGTCGCATCTTGTTTAGATATGGCTGGAGTGTTTCACCTACCATCAAGTAAACCATGTGGGCTTATCTCCTCTATCACCAAAAAGGACGATGTGTAGACAATTAAAAGAAAACATATTATTATATACCTGTCTTACACTAGTTTTTTTTACATGCATTTGAAAACGTCGTCTGTTATTTTATTGGCCCAATTAGGGAAAAATTTGGGGTTTAAATTCTATATATTTTAATGTCCTAGATTACAACAAGAGAATTGTAATTTCTAAAACAGTGTTAATTGTTATTATACTCTTCAAAAGAAGTACACGGAGTTAATACCTATATGTCGTGTGGTGTTATATTAATTACTTTCATACCGTTATTTGGCCGCTTCCACGTTCATGTAACAACCGACGCTTTATGAGTCATTATAATTTAAATTGAAACATTTATAAGGCTGTTAGTCAGACGTTTGTTGCTTTAACTTCAATTATTTTAAGTCAACTTATATCATAGTACAAAGAGCTGAACATAAAACATAAACGCCAGTTTATTTATTTTATATTTCAATAAATTCTTAATGAAGAATTTGCCCGTAGTTAGTCAAGTATCGGTAAAATATATCAATAAATCGCTTCAGTTCAAAAATATTTTTTTAGGTTCCGTTGATGATGTCCAAATTTTAAGAAATGTATTAAGTTAAGTTCAAATTTATAGCGTATTATTACTGTCCCGGCTTTATTTTAATAAAAAAAAACAATAAACATGCTTTATATGGAGAAAATTATACATTACATCATTTAGGGAAACCATTCTACATAGTACTTATAAACATTACAATTACTGACATTTAAATATACCATAATCGCAAATAAACATATTATTTTCTGATTTTATCGAAGCCACTACAAGCGACTTCCTCAAATTGAATTTCCATTCCAAAACTAATAAATACGCTTAAGAAAGTCTTGTTGGAAGTGAGTTTCCTTTCAACAAAGGCATTATTTTCTCTTTCCACGGAGTTAAACCTTCCGCGGCTACCGGGGGGCACGATTTTATCTCTTTGCGAGTGGCTTGAGAAATGTCCTAGCTTTTATTTGTTTATTTATATATTAGTGCTACTATTACAAGCTCTTTGTGAATGTATGTAAGCAAGTTTAGTATCCCTGAAGCACCATACACTGTGAATAGTGTATCATGTGTTTTGTTTTTGTGTAATGAAGTGAGTTTACAATTATTAAGCACATCAAAAGCATACATTGAAAGCATGCTACCAATGGGATTCAATCAAATGGTTCCCAAACATTGTGCCACATTGTAAAGTGGAAAAAAAAGTTACAGCGCTCGCATTAGGTCACTAGCTTTTATAACTATGTTTAATCGTGTAACTTTTCTCTGGTCAAGCATAAGTGGTTTATGTATCAAAGTTAAAAAATTTCGCAATAAATTACTTATTTTATCAGTAATCATCATCGGGAGTCTTTACAAAAACAAATATAGTCCTATTGTCAACTTGTTCAAATACCCAAATATTCAACAGAAATTAAGACTCAAATAGTATGTACGAAGAAAATAAATACGTTCTACACCACAGTGTCTGTTTGTAATAGACCTTCTATAGAAAATCATAATGGTTCATATCAACTGCAACTTGTAGAACAAAACATTGGAAAAGTCACTCACAATAGCCGATACAACTACGATCCGGACATCTTGTCTTCCTTAGTTAATAGTCTATCGCAGAATCAGTAGCGAGCTAGTCATTAAGTTTCCAATCTAGATGTTCGGACACACGTCCACTGTCCGGCCTCCAGTTATAACTAAACGCAACAACCAACAACGAATGTTAATTAAAACCGTATAAATCTCGCGGCGAAAGCAACCGATCTTACGCGTCGATAAATTTTGCATACTCTGTTTATCCTTTATTGGACAGAGTATAAGTTTTACAATTGACTATAAGGATAGTCTGTAATTGAGTTGTGATTTATCTCAATTAGTGTTTGTCTATGCAAATTAAAAAAATATATATTGTCATAACTTAGAATGCAAATATATTTAACTTCTATAGATTAAAAATGATTGTTTATATGAGTATTGCAGATAATTCAGTAATTTAGGCGTATTTCTTTGTATCAGAAATGTATAACACTTGATGCTCGTTACATTTTTTATTGCGTGGTTTATGTAGGATCTTTTTTGGCAAAAAAAGGTCTTTATAGGCGTCAGATGTCAAATTTATCGTCCTAGATTAGACAAAGTATGAAACCGTATAAATCTCGCGGCGAAAGCAACTGATCTTACGCATCGATAAATTTATTAATCACCCTACTCAGCGGTAACAATTTTAACATCTCGATTCCGTAATTGCATTCGAGTCGGAATCGATATCTATATCGAATGCGACATAATCGTTTGCATTTAAATCACTGTTTATATCGCCGCGGATTAACGCCTACACCGTCCATCGCGTCGCCGATCTAATTAAGCCGTTCGATGGATTGCTATTTTATTTCCTGGCAACATTTGTTGAGACGCCTACGCTTATATTACAATCCAATAAGACTTTCAAATAATGTTATTATTATCAGTTTTTTAAAATGTTGCTGCAGGGACTTTAAATGCCTAAAATTATTTGATGATTTGATTTGGCTTTCTTGAAATCGAACCTCGACATGACCATTCTGAAGATTAAACACTTTAATAAATTTCACATGATGGCATCGTGTAAATCAAAAATCAATTTTAGTAAATCTACCTCAATAAAATTATTAATAACGAGATTTTTTTAGGAATTTCACACATTTGTACGTATGACGTAACATAATTTTACCTTATACCTATGAAACTAAAAGGTACTAAATTTTGTTTAAAAACACTTTATCAAAAAGTGAAAAGACGTACGGCTACTTCGAAGAAATACTTATTCCAATCGCAACATCTTAACAGAGATGTGAACGTGTTAAGTAGTGCCACTGCACTCTGCGGGTCATGCAGTCCCGCAAGTGTCAACAACCCTACGCAAATGTTATAGGGCACGTCTCGTTAACAAAGGGAAATAATTCTAGCACTCCGGCGCGGGCGCAATCTTCATAATGTACGTTTGTGATTTATTGGACGTTTGTTCGCGCCTCACCGGGTCGAGAGTACGCGGATTTTAAATACAATACAGTGGAAATCGCGTTTGTACCTGCCTTTGATTTATAGATCGCTATGATAAGGTCAGTGTATGGGTATTGAGGCTTCAACTTGCGATCTAACGGTACGTTATGAAGGTAGAATATATATGTAATTTATTATAACGGTTTTGAGAACTAAAATTCAGTATTTTGTTCGATTGTTTATATGAAATCGTCGCTTAGTCGTACCAAATATTGTCAAGTTCACCAAATAGACTTGATGTCTATCATCGCTCAATGTGTGGCTGTTGTAAGTAGTCTACGATTTTAAACCCCTCTCACACTGGGCACAGTTCTCCTCTTCCAAGAGAAGAAGTGTGCCCAAAAACAATTGAATAGGTATAAGCGACGGCAATATTATTTAAGAGAATGTAATGTTTTCTTAGCTATAGGGTACTATTTAAAAAACAGTACAATCATTGGTCTATGCTCAAACTCATACGGAAAGTCTCCACGCTTGATTTCCATAGATTACAGGATAGCATAACGCTCGCAATATAACCCTAGATGCCTAGCCATTAAGGCATTACAGAAATTACACGGCCCAGATAATAAATATACGTCATACAAATTGAATATCGGAAGGTTAATGCTGGTCACGAAAGGTAGAAAGTAGAAACTGACAAATCATATTAGTCTATCGAGTCGAGATATTCTCTTAATAGGGTGTAATTTGTTCAGAGCACGGCATAAATCAGGGGTATTGGATTTCCTTCGATGTTGCTTAGGTCGTTGCGGTTCGGTTATAATTTCCGTTGTTATGCGATATGGGAAATTTTTAAGTTGAGTCTACACAGTGTAATTTTGTCGATAATTATTTGTACAGCGTTCATAGTGAAAACATATCCTACATTAAGCACGAAACAGACATCTCTGATACCCTGGGATTCGAACCCAGCACATCTTTCTAGACGGGTTAAATTATTGTGCTACGGTTAGCGGGAAACGTATATGCCCATATACTTAAATAAACTCATAAATAAAAAAAAACATCTTACTGTCGCGTGGCTTTTACTGATTAAGAACCGAAATACAGGACATCGATATTTAATTTTTTGGTGGAGCTTAGAAATATTATCGTATCGAAATTTGGGACACAGTAAACAAAAAAAAATATTATAATATATGGCATAGATTATAATAGAATACTTTAAGCTTGTACTTTAGAACAACCTAAACAGCGAATAAAAAGGTTTTCTTGAACTAAAGCATAACTTTCAAAACATTATGAACTTTCTTTGTCTTGCCCGCACTAGAAGCGATTTAGTTATCTATTCAGCTTCACTGCACTGAATACGATCATTACACGTGCGAAAATGATAATCCAATTAGACAATACGGGACAACTGATAAGCCTCGGGTTATCTCAGTGCTCTCTTCGTGTTGATGCTTGCAAAAGATTATTACAACAATGGCTATTCTATAATAGACAAATTAGTCTCTTGAAATCATAGACAATAAGGCTCCCTCTATGTTATATAGAGTAGATCTACAGATATAGACTATAACTATGTGGTACTAAACTACATATTTAATTTTTAAATAAGTCTTTTTAAGTGACATTAGCATTTTGGTCAATTTTATACATCTTCGTTTAAGGAAAAACTATGTTGATATCTATCTCAATTTTAAGCATAAGAAAAATTATAATCATTGCAATATTATAGAAACAAACAAGATTATTATATTTTTTTATTGCAGTCGTAATATCTATGTATCTAAGAATGTATTATTCTTATATAAATCTTTATTTTCATAATATTTACGTATGTGAGGAACGTATCACAAATAAGATGAGTAAGCATATAATTTACCGAAATAATGGTTTTCGTGGTGCATCTAATGTAAGTACAGTACATTTTCATTAAATGGGTGGTAGGAATGTCAGAATTCCGTTCTAGTCACGAACCATCGTCCTGTTTAATCGCGTTTTGGTTTCAGTCTGTGGATTTCGCAATATCTAAATCCAAAATAGTTGGACAGCGAATTTTGTTTCGATCTTATTTGACGCGGGTATTTCACGTACTCTACGAACAACGTGCTTTCCCTCTATCGTAAAAAAATATTCAAATGTCCAATAACAACACATTACATAGCCGATGAGGTAATCACAAGATCAAGTCATGTACGCTACTTAGCAAGTCCTTATCTGGCGATATCATTATCGTTAAGTATCATTTAAGTACGGAAAAGAAAGTGCACAGTATTTTATGTGACAAAACCTTTGTTGTAAGAATAGAGCACAGTACATAGAAACAACAGTAAAGAAATATATATATTTTTTCACTGTAGGTACACTGTCGCTTATTTATCAAAAATCATTGATTCGCAGTTTGTTGTCCTGACGATATACATAAGAAAAATAAAAGTTTATTATAAACCTACTTAGGTTACTATATAGCAAGAGACAACATTGGGTATTAGATTAAAAAACAAAATAACTATGGATTTAAAAAAGAATGATTTTCCATTTTCAATAAGTAAAGGCACCATAAGAAAACTCTTGTGTACATTTATATACACATATGCAATTAGCAGCATATGCGTAGAAGATAATAATCGATTTTAATCTATATATCTTCTTTACTAGCGCTAGATCTCATAAATATAGGTTTCATAACGGACAGTGGCGAGTCAACTGCATTACAGCGTATGTTAAACAAATCGTGCAGCACACGTCACGAAGTTACGCCAGTTAGATAATCTGGCCTCATTATTGTAACACCAGGAACAAATGTAGACAATAACTATAATGTGGATACACAATTAGAGCAGACTCATGCCTTCCGAAAGCTATTTCATATTTTAAAACAGACTTAAAATAATGAATTTTCTTAGTTTTAAAAACTGTTGCAGAAACTATATTTTTTTATTTAACAATTAATAAAACGACAGTCCAAAACAGTCTAAACAAAAATATGTATACAAAAAAGAAATTAGTAGAAATGTTTTTAAGCGCCATCTATTAGTCAGTTTGAGAACTATAATTAAACTTAAACACATGCGGTGTTTGTTCTTTGTAAAGAGTATTTGTTATGAGCTGAAGAAAATTTAATAAATATAATTATATAAATTAAATGAAAATCCATTATTGTTTTACACATAACAAATGTCTCATGAGATTATACCTTATAAGGTAAACACCCATAAACTATATTAATTATGTTAAGTATAGTCCGAGTCATAGGATTAGATTCAAGTAGTCTTAGATGCTACTAGTATATATTACTAAACTAACCTGGTGTTCACGGAGTTTTCGCAGTAGTTCTGGATATGGTGCAGCGCGAGCGGCGGTCAATGATGGTGGAGGCAAACGACCTTCCATGCCGTGAAGCCAACGACGAAGACAGCGAAGTTCATGCGCCGTGTCTAATAAATGTGATTTGGTATTTATAACTGAATACTGTCTATAGTTTGCGCGAGTAGTACACATTTAAATAAAACACTTTAACGGTTTAAAAGCCGTGACCACGGCTGCTGCAAAGCATCCGAAACGTCGGGCCGAAGTTAAAAATCATTTTCAAATAAGTTAAACTACTATATCGCGTTTTAAACAGTTAAAGTGTTTTATTTAAATTTATAACTGATTCAGACACGTTTTATTCTACGACAGCGAGCATAAGATTTATACTTTACATATTTATTACACAATAATGACTTCTTTCAAAGATTTCCTAGGTTCTATCCGTATATTTTTTAACTACCCTTAAAATTATTATAAATGGAATAAATGTAATCTATATGTATAGTTTAGTATTTTAAGCGACGAAGAATGTGATTTTGTCATCTATAATTTATTACATTACCACTAACTGAGAAGATAATGTACTGTTTGATTTATTGTTTTAAACTTTTTCCATCGTAAATGTTAGTCCTAGTACGAACGAAGATACGAATCAAATCGATTACAGATGGCGCCAACACCAATAAAGAAACCAAATGTTCGGTTACTACGATCTTCACAAGATGGCGTTATATCCAAAAGCATTTTTTACTTAAATTTATCAGTTAAAATGGATTTTTCCGTAATAAAAATGTATTAGTATATTTAATAATCAGTACATAAAGTCAAATACTCCTGAATTTAGACGTTTGTGTTTTTATGTTATTGTAGTATGTAAGAGTACTCACCAACAGTGTCAGAGTTGTCTCCGTCACGTTGCTGCTGTTCAGGACTCAGTAGCAAGCGGAGACTCTCCCACTTCACATTAAGATGTTCCACGCGCCAAGTTACCTGAACAAATATTAATGTTATATTAGGCAAACTATCCCGTAGTGTTACAAGTTACAATGCAAAAATTTTAATCAACTAGTTTTGCCTGCACAATAGTGTACCGTATCCTTGGAAAATCCATTTGATAAGTAAGCAATTATTTACATAAACATCTTCCCCACACAAACTTTTGCTTTAATAATATTCTAATGTCCGAATGAAAATCAACGAAATATTTGACCGAGAGGTTAATTCTTCTATAAAACCATCTTTGGCACATTTATGAACCAATTAAAATTTTTAATACTAAAGTGGTAGATTTATGGTTTTAATCCAAGCACTATATCTAGTCAGACTTCCATGATCTAGTACATATTTTACACTAGTTTACTATCAAGGTGAATAACTCAATAGCTTGTTTTAACGATACTCCGATTTTTGAAAAATTGCGTAATGAGAACTAACAGACGTGTGGATAGAATATGTCACAGTGGACAAACATTACCTCAGCACCGGCCTCGGGTATTCTGTCGAGGATGGCGGAGGCTTGCTCTATGAACTTTACACGACGCGACTCAGCTGACACCAGTTCTGACATGCGGTTCTGTAAATTTAAAAAGTAATATTAGTGCTAACAAAAATCTCACTTATAGATTACCACTGTCACACTGCGTACGTCCGTGGGCACGTTAATAAATGGTATTTAAGAGAGGTGGATGTAGCAGATTATATGATTATAGTGATATGCTCTTACAATACAATGAAGGAAAACACATGAAACGAAAGAGCAACAGCACAGAACGCTGTGAATGCCTGATCAAGTTCTGCCCGCGTTGTAAAACTTTTTAAATCTAAAATCGATCTTTAATTTGTATAAATCAAACGTGTTCAACAGCCAGGGAACAAAATTAAAGTTTTTTTAGTATTAAATGTAAAAGTTTTTAAAGCATATCGTTCCCCTAAAGGAAGTGGCGCCAGGGGCTACTGATAATAAGTGTTGCAACACGATAATCGTAACATTATGCTAAGGGGCTCTTGTTTAAGGAGTTGTCATTGTTAAATATTAGCCTTATATATTTATCTAGTTCGTCAATGTACTATACATTAAGTTAAGGTTTTGTGTAGAACTTTCAAATGAATCGTTATTATTTGATTTATAAAACAATTAAGGCAAAGGGACGGTATTTCTACTTCCAAGCCATAACATGATGAGTACTACCCACCATTCTCAGTTTCCTACTAGAAAGGTTCTCTGGACTAGAATATATCTCCTCCTGGACGTGCGTGAGCCATTGACAGAGTTCTGTAAACTCGGCTATCAGTTGACTCAGGGACCACTGGCGGTTGTAGCTGGATGTTGGGTTAAGGAGACGAGGCCCGTTATGCAGTATGGACGGGTTGTTCAATAGCAACTCGCCATTTGCTTCCTGAAAAAAACATTTTAAACTCTTATTAAATACAATAAGATAATTCAAAAGGAGTTCTTTATCAATTTTGGCTACTGAGCTGCAATTGGCTTAAAAGTTTAAAAAAAGGAAGGAAGGTGAAAGCGTTATACATTTACAAAGAAGATGTGCTGTCGACTTATTATGGTTTTGGATATTTGCAAATCCATAGACTGAAACCGATTGGGGGTTGATGGAAGCTTTCAGAAAACGTAATCGGCTTTGGTGAAAGCTTCCGATTTTAAACTAATTCTAGTAGTAGTTAATAAATTCAATGTACAATATTTTGATTGTAAAAGATTTTGTACAGTACATATTTGCTCTGAAAACCTAAATTCAACAAAGAATTTCTCTTTCTATTATGAGGTATAATAAAGTTAATTTATTAAAAATTCGTTTGAAAATTATTTCGCGTTTTAAACCGTTAAAGTGTATGATTTAAATGTGTACTCCTCGCGCAAACTAACGACAGTATTTACCTTGCAACTGTCTATGATCTGGTTGTCCATGATGTACTCGTAGTGGTGCTGCAGCAGAGGCCAGAGGTCGTCGCCAACGCTGCCCCCGCTAGCTGCCGAGCCCCAACTTCGGCGCCACGCCTCCCGACATGGCTCTTTCCTGGAATAAAAATTTTCAATATTCAGGAATTATTATCAAACACATAGATTATAGAATATGGGAAGTAAGCAAGTACCGAATATTCGGTAAAACTATTCAGTTAGATTAAAAAAAAATTGTCTTTTTGCAACTAAACTTTCCTAACAATCGTAACTTGTCTTACACAGATGATGATTATGTGTATATATTTTGGATGTATCAAATATTGTAAAAGAACTGAAATAGATATTTAATAAATTTATTTATTTTTCATTTTATAAATAATCGATTCCCTATAACAATATACATAGCGTCCTTTATACAATTCAACTGAATATTATTATTTAGCCGAATTGTACAAAGGACGCCGAATAGGCCGATTACCGAATAGTAACCTGAAATGCATTGCAATACAGATCATGATGGGACAATTCAGAAATTGCTGAAAATAAACCCACAATGACGATGTCATATTGGTGACAATATTGTCACACTACAACACTAACCAGGTGCTTTTTTGTAGAGAAAGCACCCGGACTGTTTTTATTAACCCTAATCTTACCTGTTAAAAGGAAATTTTTATAACATTTTAATAGGGTGGACCTTAGCATTTTATTGGAGGTTTTTTTGGGACGATTACCCTTTTTGTAACGTAACGCGTTACGGCACCGGTTTGGATACATACATACTTATATTTTTATGTTGGATTAAGAATGAATTAATATTCTCTTAGTTTGATACTTAAAGTACCTTTTTAATGGTAATTAGTTGTAGTTGAAGAAACGGCTGCAGTAATAAATCAAACAATTTTCCCAAAAATTAGTGATGTATAGTCAACGTATAACAAAGGCTCGTTATTCGGGAGTAATTACTCATCGTTGTAGTACAAACTTCCTGTGATAAGACCCGATTAAGTAATCTAGCAAGTGTTTTAAAACTAGGATAGGAAAATGTGTTTGTAGATTACTTTGCTTACAAACATTACATTCTTGAGAAGATTACGCAGCGCCGTAGACGTCGCTTGCTTAACTCAATTAAAACATTCAATAGGTATTTTAATGTATCGACATTTTATTTGTTTTCGAAAGCAAAAAAACATCGTTTAAATTCCAATTAAATTTGACTACTGGCCCAGTCATGTGCAAAGTGATATTGATTGTTTTCAGGTGGACCGTAGGGCTGTTTTTACGAAGCTAAGGTTAAGATTTTATCAATTTGTTTTTATGCAGTGAAATATCTTTCAATTATAATGATGCCATAAACATTACGGCTAAGTAGTAAGACATAAAAATTAAAAAAAAAACCTAAAATCTTAAAGGTTCACAAGATTTTGGAATTCAAAGGAAACTTTTTCATTTATATGTAAAGTTACAAAATAGTACCTACCTCTTTTTTGTGAGACTATGGTATGGCCTCTCGAGCTGCTCGCAGAGTCCGTTCTGGTAGGCGGCACTCTTCAGCGAAGACAGGGAGAAGCTACTCTTCATAGCTGAGTTCTCGAAACCTGGAATTTATAGAGCACTTTATGTAGAAATAAATAAAACATTTTTAACGGCTGCAAATGCGTAATTTATGAGTTACACTTGGCAAATTATTTTAACTACGGCCCGATGTCTCAGATGCTTTGCAGCAGTCTCTAAAAGCATTCAAAACGTCGGGCCGAAGTTAAACAGTTTTTGGCATGTTTAATACATTTCGCGTTTTAAACCGTGAAGTATTTTATTTTAAATGTTAACTGCGGGCGTAAATTACAGAAAGAATATAGATAAAAATGAGTTTGGCAGTGCTATGGCAAGAAAGTTATGCATGAGTAATTGTTAAAATCTTCATCGACTAAAAAATATTTTTAAAAGAGTATCTCAACAAAAAAAAAAGAAATAAATTATTAAAAACATATTTCTAGTTAACTGATAAAATAGATAAAATAAGTTATACTCACTGGCAGACATCTTGTCTTGTTTCTTCGGGAACGTCCAATAAATCAATTTACTTCTAAATCAAACATTAGCATTCCCGTTTGTACTGTCCACTTGCGTTCGTCCTCTTTGTACTTATCTCTTGGTACAATATCGGTTAATAACTCTAAATTGCTTCGTTAAACTATTGCGACTAGAATCGTTATAATTATAATAAATAAGGGTGTGTCTTAATCATGTAATCTTGATAGATTCATGAATTTGAAGAACTGTTTTGTATATTTTGGTGAGAGTGTCGGTGGTCACATTTTGCGTTGATAATCCCTTTTTTGCCTTCGCCGTCTCGCTTTACTTATCGCCAGTTTGAATCTGAAAAAAAAAACAGAATTTATTAGCTAGGTAATTTTGTTAATGACTGAGATGCAAGGGGATTAGCAGAATGCACACCGGCGCAGGCGACGTCTGAACGCAAAGTGAGAAGAGACTTCACGTGCAATAAAGTAAACAATCGCTTATCACTCTTTGAAGATCATTGAGACTTGACTTGACAGATAGTCCACTAACCGCAGAGTAACTGAGAGTGGCGGGAATTAACAAATTTCTCAAAAATAATAATTATTCGACTAATAAACAACCTAATCTTATTTTTGGTGCTTTCAAAATAAAAGTATTTCATATATTATAAACAACTTATTAATATAGATTTGGTTGAAGTAACAGCGTAGTAGACCCGATAAATAAATAAAATGCATTATTCATTGCATTTTGAATTCATTTGATTCGAATTTCACGTGGCTATTAGATGAAAAACGTTAAATAAATAAAACATTTTGTAGAGAAGGTTTATTATTAGTCTATATTGAATACGGTAGTGTATTCATTTTGTATATACCACTACGGTCACTAACAGAGTAATTATTTACAATACTCCGGAAAAAAAAAACTACAGAAGGTAACATTTATTTAAGACTATCCTATACCAACACTTACACACCAATATACTCTAACCGCCATGGTAAAGTAAAAGCTTAGAACAAAGTTTACCTTCCGCGGTCACCCACGAACCGTACACCATCAACTAAATACACCATAACAAATATTAGACGCCCTACCGTTCAATAACTTTCACTGGAAAACCGATTGTTTTCACCGAATATAGCTAAGGGCGTTGAGGAAAGTCCACTTACGAATTATTTTTATTGTTTCACACCAAATTGCGTTTTAACTACGAGTGCGGTCTTATACGTTTAAAAACTTACGTTCTGCAGTTAAAATCAAGTCTCAAATTTAACGCCATTTATATGTTTTTAATAATTAGTAATACGTGAAATTTATTTATAGTTTTAGCTTCGCACTTTCTGCACATTGCCCTTGATTTATTTCATTTGTTATTCCTGAAAAGTTAAGTTTATATTTTTTCTTTGTTCATTGTAATCGTCTGTGTATTGTGTAATAAAGAGGAAAATAAATAATTAAAATACCTACTACGTTATTGCTGAATTTAGATGTAAAATTTAACTTAAGTCAACGTGAATAAACAATCTAGCTAATTCTCGTAATTCCTTTAACCACTTCCATATGTTCTTCAATGTACCCGGACTTAAAAACAATTGCAAAATAGATAAATCGAGAAAAACATATTTAATCATAACCTTATACATTAAAGGTGGGAACTATCATTCGTTAAATTTAACCTGCCTTTAAGACGTACAAATACTCTACATCACGCAATAAAAAACGACTAAAGTCAAGATGACTGTCGTTACTAAAATACATTCTACATTTATCACATCCCCATGGTTGGGGAGAGGGTGGTCGTTAATAGAGTTATTGTAGTCATATGAATACAAACAAAACAACAGTTATTAAACCCTTGAGAGTATAATACGTCTAACGTACGTGTACACTACGAAATGACTACACAAAGTGGATATTAAAAGTAGTCAACTTTTTAAAAGTAAAAACACAATTGTTTCATGTGAGCTTCAGAGGCAATTAATGATGATAAATAAATAAAAAAAATTAAAATAAAGTAAACGAGATAACTTGAGTAAAAAAGGATTATTACAGAACTTTATAATTTCTGTTTGTCTTTATATTATTAAATAAATTAAACCTTTTAGGAGTGTTTTTTTTATTATATATTATATTATATATTGTTTTATACAGAACGCGTCATACTTAAGACCCATTTCTTTTGTAACTATTTCCACTGTTTCACACATAATGTCAATATTCCAATGAAGGCACTAACACCAATTAAGATAAAAAAATCAGTACATACTTCCGGAAACACTCACAATGGTGCTTATGTCTCCGTTTTCTTTCCCATAAATGTACGCGATCTAGAAAAGTTTCACCGATCACAACAGGTCAATAAAGTACTCACTTTTCATAAATGGTCTCATTTGAAACGATAATTGCAATAATGTTACTGCACTTTGTTAGGTATTGTTTACTTTTGATTGGACGACATCTTTCCACCGCATCACAAGGTTTCAGAACTACGTTTGTCTTAAAGCGCAAAAAATATTAGTTTATAACAATTTCTTGAAATAGCATTGTATTACTAAGCTATAAATATTGAAATAAGTAACAATGATTAAATATTATAGAATAGTATTGTGTTCTATTTTGATTCAAACAGGTAATTTCATTATCTTTTATTATTATTTATCTTATATTATTATTAGGAATATTGATTAGGCCGAATGATCAGTCCACACCATTTGCTAACCATTTCACCAATTTCCCCCATTCCGCCTTTTCGGAGGATTTTGGGTTATCCAACTCTCAATGCGTCCCCTTAAATCTTTTAGTTTCTTTGCAAATTTGTTCCACCTTTAGTTCTTTGATCTTATCTTATTCTATATATTGGACTTTCGAAATATGTATTAATTAATTAATTTATACCAATTCAAAGAAATAAATAGCTACTTAGGCTTTTAAATAAAACACTTTAACGGTTTAAAACGCGATATATTAGTTAAACTTATTTGAAAATGAATTTTAACTTCGGCCCGACGTTTCGGAGGCTTTGCGTTTTAAACCGTTAAAGTGTTTTATTTAAAAGCCTAAGTAGCTATATATTTCTGTGTGTGTACTACTCGCGTAAACTATAGACAGTATATACTTAGGCTTTTTTCCCATACCTAAGCTTCAACATCGTGACAGTAGAAATTCCAAGCACCCTCGCATAGCACAAATTGCTGGTGCCCGTTTCTCGGATGCACACCAAACGATCACGTTTCCACAGATAGCAAACAGCGAGAGTTGCAATTATTGCACTATCGACATTCCATGCAAATCCGATTCACGCTAATCTAGCGTTAAAGTGACCCACTTAGGGGGGAGATTTCCGTAACAATCGATACACACCTATTTAGATTTAACACGACATTGTGATCCGTATGGAAAGCATGCTAAACAAACGTTTACTTTCTAATAACCCGTTGATCACTTGCCACGGGTCATTTCGACCCTCTAGATAGTGCACAATTTAATCTATCCACTGTTAGTAACGGTAATTGTAATTAATTTCAAATTTATAGCTAAGATTGCGTTGCGAAGGATTACGAGTCGACTCGCCTATGAGGAAAGTCAAATCGCATACAATGTGATATTATAATGTAAAGTTACGTGTTTTGATACAAGAAGCCCCGCTGTCCTATAAAACAAAATCGGGTCACGGTTTTTAAAAATTATCCTAAAATGGCTGAACAGTATTTGAGAGGTTGTGATTTAATTTGTACAGAAACAGACTTATCAAATATGTTTTTATATTACGGTGAGCCAGTTAGTTTTAAGTATAATTGTTTTTTAGATGTTCGAAATAATACCACTATTTAAATAAAACACTTTAACGGTTTAAAACGCGATATATTAGTTAAAATTATTTGAAAATGATTTTTAACTTCGGCCCGACATTTCGGATGCTTTGCAGCAGCCGTGGTCACGGGGAGACATCCGAAACGTCGGGCCGAAGTTAAAAATCATTTTCAAATAAGTTTAACTAATATATCGCGTTTTAAACAGTTAAAGTGTTTTATTTAAATGTGTACTACTCGCGTAAACTATATACAGTATTTAATACCACTATCTCAAAAGACACTCATCAAACAATACTTAAGTTATCTTGTAAAACAATAACAATATGAGAACAAATTAAAATAATTAATTAAGCAGATAATGAATCAGTGACAAAGAGATTAATGAGAATATTCAAAAGCACTACAAAAGAATTGAATCCGCGCTTAATTATAGGGATACGATTACGGGCCTCATTTGAGAAAACCTGACCAAGTGTGAGTCGGGCGCGCAGGTTGGGTACCGTATAGTTTTTTTTTTAATTACCCATATTGTAAACAATGAAATTGTAAGTATACGCGTACAATATTTATTTGATCATTTTTTATTAATTTGTTATTAGAGCAGCGAAGACATCTAAAAAATATATTACTGCTGTGTGTCAATAATCAAACCCACGATCCGGGGTTTGATCCCCACCAGATCCAACATGTTTCTATTAATTTATAATGTTCAGAAACATGTTCGAATTCGTCTGAAAATATTAAATGGTCGTCTTACCACAGACTATCTAAAAGCCGTACATAGCATTTCGGCTTCAGTCTATGGATTTTCGATTTTCCAATCCAAAGTCAAAATAAGCCGACAGCGCATCTAGTTAAGATGTTTTATGGCTGGGGTATGGGGGTACACCTTCCATCAAGGAAACTCCATACTTGTCTGTCCTTAATAAAATAAAAAAAGCTATATACGAGTGCGATACCTTACTTACCCTGCGCATACAGAACCCTAAATATGATTAACCTGGTGTGAAAGTGCAAATCTAAATGCGAGAACAATTCGTTATTTCGATCACAGCAGATTAGAATTATGATAAATGACTTTACCACAATTACGCGTGCGAAACGCTTGTAACAATATGAAGCAATGCTTTCGCCCGAACGAAATATATTAGGATATAATAGAGCAAGAACGCGGATGTGAGAAATAGATTGTGCCGATGAAAA